GCTACAATACATTTCCCTTTACATTCCCTGGTATTACACCACAGCCTTTGTGCTGAGGCAGTTATGGTTCACAACCATCACCAGTTCTCTTGTTGTAATTTGTATATACCAATTCGTATATACCGAGGAAACGACCCTGATTGAAAATCAAGTATTTTGTGACGTCACCAATTCGTGTGTAGGTACGGCTTCTAGACCCGTGCCTAGATCGGGCTTTATCATATGCATATACTAGTATGTTATCTCCGATGTCTGCACTTTAACCCCTATTTGTCCTATTGGTCACAGTGGTTGAGTGATGGTCGTAGATATGCTGTTTGAACAAATAATATATATATGACGTCATTCACAAAGTCCAAAAAGTGGACAGTGCATTGGTGACACGTGTCCTCAGTGCCGGTTCATTCTTTATCTAATACTACAGTTGCAGGTGGGAGTTAAACTACACGTGTGTCAATTTGTAAGCTATATTCACACAGTTTGGTAACAGGGTGCATAACGATATAAATAATGAATTTTGATGGTAAAGTTGCCCTAGTGACTGGTGGAGCCGATGGCATTGGTAAAGCGTTAAGTGATGTTTTTCTCAGCAAAAATATGAAGGTAGGTAGTACGTAGTGGTCTTTATAAGCGAGTGTACTGTAAACCACTTAATTTTTACTATTAGGATTTTAATGCGATTGGCTGATTTAATGATGTTCATAAAGACAAAATTTCGCGAAAGTTACTGACACCCCTAGGTGTAAGACCCCTCTCCCCAGGAAAATCTTCTTTTGCAAAATTAAAGTGATTTACAGTATTTAGGGGCGTGGTAATTTCGGCGATCAGAAATGCGTTCAAGGCCTAGTTTTCAGTGCCATAACCTTTCCGAAATCGTTATTTTCGGGGTCTTTGCCACGTCACGAGTCTCTCACATTGTCGTTCATTAGACCAGGGTGCATAACAATAAAATGTTTAGGGGGACTGCAGCTTTTTATATTTTATCGTCTAAAATGCCCAGGTACCCCTGCTTGGTGACGTATTTGTTTTTTTGAAGATATAAAGTTCTGATTGCAAGAACACTTAGATTACTGTCTTAGAAGAAAATGAATACGATATATTTTGTGAAAGATAATCTTTTTGCTATAAAAATATTGACGACTAACAAAAATGAACAAAACCTATCAAACTTGCGCATTTGACCTGAATGTTCGGTCTTTCAGCCTAATTTTGAACCGAGTTGCCACGGGAACTGTAAACACGCAAAAAAAGCAATCCAAGTTGAAAATCAAACATAGTTCAGCATATCTAATTAGACATCAAGTACACTAATATCTGGTTCCTTATCAGTGAAATCGGCCCATCTTAGTCTGATTGATTGAATCATGTCACATGTTCTCTCACATAACTCTTAAACCCCAACCCTCATCTGATCCGGTCAAAGACGATGCAATATACCATTAAACCATTGACCCGGTCTTTGATCTATGCGCTGAATTTTTCTGAAACAATCTCTGTTATTATTGATTACAAGGATATGATTCATTATATAGCATCACTGGGAAAATAAGTTTTAATTATATGAAATTTTCTCAGGCCGCATGTAGTTGTGAATGAATTACATTCAGATATCTGAGGAGAACCCTACATAGACATCATGATGGAATCTTATCACAAAAACGATTCACACCATTATGAATATTATTTGTACCAATTTGAAACAAATTGATTAAAGTGTATCAGCAGGAGAAATATGCATCAATTTTGAATGAAATCGCGAAAATAAATCAGACGTGTATCCATAATTTACCCTGAGTAAAGACAACACCTGAGAAATAAATGATTAATAACTATATCATATTTGTTTTTACACATACTATAAAGTCATTTACTGTCAACAGTCGGCATATTAGGGGCGTACATACAGTACTTATGGTAAACACATATCTCATGTTTATATAAATACTGTCTGAATTATGTATAGCGCGACTTTGCAAGGTTTTTTTCCCACGAGATTCGTGACCTGTGATCTGTCAATGGCTTGCAACCAGTGGCGAGTAATTTGTTTGACAGCAGTGCAGGGCAGTGTAATTCAGCGAACAGTGTGACATCACTACCGTAGAGCTGATTAGCAATAAAGCTGTGACGGAACCCAAAATTTAGGTGCAAATTTCACACTTCATCATAAACTAAAGTGTAGTACATTTAAAGTGCATTGGTATTAAAATTCAGGTACCCCCTTGTATGATCAGTTCTCAAATAATGCACCTACAGTCTTTAATTTGTCTCAAGTATGTATTTCAAAGCAGCCTAAATGACGTCATCAGTGAAATGTCAACAAATCTGATTTGTGCCACGATGGTAGCGGTGAAGCGAAATTTCTTCAATAATTGAACAATTTGGCAATAATTGATATATTAAAGTGCAAATAACAAATCAATAGTCACCGTGACGATCCGGGACTTGTGCCAGCCTATCATAAGCAACCACGTGGAATGGTGATGATTTTTTTTGGTGTCCATTACATCCATATAGGGAGTGTGTTTGGTAGATGTTAACGAAGACAAGGGTCAGGAAACTGCAAAAGCTTTTGAAGAAAAATATGGTGCTGGAAAGGCCAAGTTTTGTAAGTGCGACGTCACTTCATCGGAACAGTTAGAAGGTACGTTTACCATGTGATTTTGAAATGCAAGTCACAATACTATAACTACATTGGAATAGTAATATCACATTATACACATATTACACAGTTAATGGGGTCGTCTTTGGGTCTTGGGTCATTGTACGTTAATAAGGGATGGGCCATTAGAAACTCTGGGGCGATTACAGAAAAACTATTATAGCCTCTGTGTGTAATATTTTTCCCTAAGAAATAGGCATGAGGATTGCAGAATTTTGTCAATGATTTTGTTCCTTGTGCATCCTTCTTTTTTAATTCTGTTATCGCTCCTCTCTAACTATTTATTCGTCATCAGCTGCATTCAAGACATGCGTGGATACATTCGGTCGACTTGATGTCGCCTGCAACAATGCCGGTATACTAAATGAATACAAGTGGAAACTCATGGTGTCCATAAACCTGGTAAGACAAGATTGAGTTTGTAGTTTACTTAAATTGTTGTTTGATAAAGCAGTCTGAACGGTTTATTGTGTCTTTGACGAGAGTTGGCAGTACTCGCGACTAGAGGTAGGACAACGCCACCAACGATGAAACCGAATCATCTTATTGAGGGAAACAAATAATATAAGATGATGATATCATAAAAATGCCTATTGTATTCAGCGTAATGTTGGTAATTATGTGAAGTTTGTGTTTCTCAAAACGCAAAACGGCTTCACCCATACTTCTGAGACTTGTTTTTTAAGCAATTGTTGATTTTTTACGTCAACGCCTTTCTACTTGCCTGCCTGATATCACGGGATATTAATATTTAATAACGTGGCTGGTACTGATTTCCAAGACAGTGTTGTCCATTAAATGCACTATAAATTATTAGTAGCATGTGTTAGTAGCTTTTTTTGTTTGTTTGTCAGAATGCTGTCATAGAAGGCACCTACTTAGCAGTGAAGTACATGGGAACAAAAAATGGCGGCAATGGGGGCGTCGTTGTGAATACATCATCAGTGGTTGGTAAGAAAGTAAAATGAATTAAACTCGCATGTTTCAAAACCTTCATTAATATAATACATGTGTGATATCATACAACTACGGGAATTATAGGACGACACGAATACGCGATATCTTAGGTCTTGAGAGCGCGTGCGGATTTTCAACATTAATGAAATCATGCAGTCCACTGAACTGTGTTTGTTCATGTTTGGTTCGTCATAGGATTGGTACCGAGGCAGTACGCAGCTGTGTATACTGCTAGCAAACATGGAGTTGTCGGCTTCACCCGTAGCGCTGCGGTAAGTTCAGAGGACCATGAACTTCTACAGGAAACGCGAGATCGAATCACAGACTCTCGGCCACTCTCGTTCACCGGTCTCGTTCATGGATTATGTACGATTTGATTTGAGAACACGGTGCATGTACCAATTGAGTTCAACTATTTAGAGCCAACTATAAAGTATTTAAAAAATGTCGACGGCCTTAGTGTCATTATTAAAATCACTAATTTTAATATTCGTTGCAGTTTGAGCCAGACGTGGTCGATAATGGCATTCGCGTTGTTGCCATCTGTCCAATGGCAGTAGAGACTGAATTCATGGCAATCGCTTACGAACAGGGATCCAAATATACGGAAGTTTACAGAAACGAAATGGAAGGCCGTGTTCCGCGTGTCAAGTAAGTGAAGATATGTATGAATGTAATTTGCCTCCATGTTCTGTCTGGGGTCAGTTTGTGTATACTTCCCTCAACATAAAATTACTTACAATGAGGCATACGTATGTGTTTCTCTCTTCCAGGTTTGAGGAGCTTACTTCTGCTGTAGTGCAGCTGATTGAAGACAAGGACGCAAACGGATCTATCAATGTCATTGTCCCCGGAAAGGGATCCAAATCAATACCACCACCAAACCTGAACCTGTAGTCGTTATGCGCACTAGTCGCTCGACAGATTAGATTCAATAATGACCATTAATTGACGACACACGACACGATTGGGGATAACCCTCTTCAGTACTAAACCATGTATTATATCATCTATTTTGCGAACATTATGTTAAGACAGATATAGATATGTGTGTATATGCAATATTAATAAATAAATCGAATTTTTCTTTTTGAAAAAAGTAGTCTTATTTCATACGCACAAAGTCAGCACTTTTCGGCGATTATATTTATTAAATATTAATAAAATAAAAACTAAAATATCTCTATTGAAGTGAGGTATCAAACTAAACACAAACACTGTCTGTCACGCACGGCGTACTATACTTGAGACAGGGTGTTACATTTATGTTGTATTTCAGTTTTCTTACAGTAAATCCCATAATAATAATAATAGTAATGTTACTGATTTTAAACTACGCACCTGATTAATTTTACTAGAATCTGTTTATTAGTTTCGCGATTACTAAAACATAAAAAACTACCAGTAAATAAATTAAAAATAAAATACAGGAAAAATCAATATCTAATACACGAAATAAAAAAAATCACAAACTGAGATCTTATTTTAATCAGATAAAATTTCTTGATATCCAATCTTCATCGACATGTGGTGTTTTAGTAGGTGAGGCCATTATTTGTGGGACCAGGTACGAGACTACTAGGTACCAGCGTACTGCTTCCCTATGTGGTCTCGTTCCCAACCATGAACTGCGTGTAATTATATGTATGATAAACGTGTGGAGTAAGTAAGACGTCTGCCACCTAGTTTATCAATTTTGACCGATTTTAATCGTGTACAAGATGACCTTCGACACTGTACGAAGTGCAAAATAAAGCGTGTACAGACGAAGAGCAAATAAATGACGTGTGTTCAGAAGAGACGCGTGTTCGTTTCTGAATGAAATGTCCGAATTTGCGTAAAATACAGTTGCCAGTGTGTTACACCTATACGTAATCGAGTTAATTTATCACAGCACGGCACAGTTAGGTGACAGGGTGCATCACGCTACACATAATAAATTGTGTTGATAAAGCTGATTTCTTTCGTAACGATCGTACTTAGTATTACTAGTATACTTGCAAACCATTGGCGACACAGTGACAGAAAATAATTAAGTATAACATGTACAAGTCACGTGATTTTTGTGAACACCCTTAGATGAAATAGTCAATTTGTTGCATATTAGTACACGTACAATGTACTTCCAAGTTGATCTCATCTTCCACGCCATTAGCAGGACGCCATATAACCACGGGAATTCTAGAACGCCGATTGCCAATTGGGGACTTTCGAGTTGTAATCTAACAAAGTACAATGCATAATATTTTCAGATTCGAAATACAGGCCATGTAAAATGGTTAACTGGTACTGCAATGCTCTTGAATGGATCTTCTAGTGCCATCAAGCAAAAATCTGGCGAAATATCCCCGACTTTCGGAAGATTCTTTTCATGCCTTTCCTCCTGCGATAAAACGTATCAGACAGTAGGCGGAAATACAAAAAAAAAACAAAAAAAAAAACTGACCCATACGTAAACTAAAACGCTATCAGAAGTATATAATCTGTCACTAATGAGTTTACGACTTAAATTCTTTTTTTTTTTCGTGGGTGATCTCTTCGGCGTTTCCTCCCCACGTGTATCTCAAATCTTTACTATCGAGATAACCTATATCGCTGCTGTTTTTCAAACTCTTCCCTGGCTTAGTCGCTCACAAATACTATTACTAGTAGACGAAAATATGCCGCTGTTATTTAAAGTTTCCTACCCGACAACCAGGTGTATCATTGATTGTACGTATTTTTTTTTTATTCAGAAACCGTCTACTCCTACAGCACAGGCGGTAAGTAATATGATCACACAATACATACGAATGCATGATTGGTGTGAGCCCCGATGGAACAATAACATTTGTGTCTTGAGTGGGGTGGCAATGTCTAAGACAAATTTATTACAATGAACAATGGTTACCGTGAACTATTTGAGCCAGGCGATACAATCATGGTAGTGTGATAGGTATTTTTGATGTTTCGAAACCTTTCACTTAGGTAACCGGGATTCGATTGTTCTCCACGTTGGACTCACAAAAAACACACAGAAGCTCAATTCATGTCACCTTCGATTCTCCGACTGACTCGTGCCCTCCTCCCGAGACAGCTTCAAATCACTTTATTAACTTGTCAACCATTAGCCAATTACAATAGAGTATAAAAGACTTTGAGGCGTTGCCTCCAAACAAACAGCCAATCACACGAAAGTTTTACACATCTTAATACAATTGATTAATCGTCACTATATTAGGAAAATCACTATCATAGTGTCAACGTCAGTTTATATTTATGGGTACTAATGGTCTTGCAATAACATTCCACAGTTGACATTAATATACACCATTAGTTCTGGACTACGACCAAGATACCGCATAAGCTTGAAATCGCAAGCTCATGAGAATTTGTCGACTGATCTCAACCAGTCCTGTCATCAGGCCTCATCATTTAACCTTTATCAGTAGATGTCATGGCAACCACCATTAAGCCGAAATATAAATCATGATAGTAGATCGCTGCTTTAATATTCAGGAACTTCTTTCAGAACGAAAGGCAAGACTTGTCATTCCACCATTTACGAGGAAGTGTAATCCAGGAAAGTGGAAGCGACCTAACGAATACGTACTAAAGGCTAGAAGAATCGCTCGACTTAGAATTCATGTTGAGAGAACGGTATGGCGGTTAACAAAACTTTCAGATGTTGGCCTATATTTTACCCTTGTCTATGAACTCAGTCGGCAATCAAATGGTTATCCCTGCAGCTGTTATCAACAATTTACTGCCTCCTTTATTTAAAAATTAGGCATCTCTATTGTAATAAAAGTACGTTATACCACGTTTCTGGAAGAATTTGCGACGTTACGCCTCGGTGATATCCCATTCGCAGTGCGCCCGCACACATTCAAACCTTGAACTGGTTATGCAAATGAGCAGAAGACGAAATGTTTAGGACATAAATTCAAAATCCTTTACGTCGTATTGCGGTCAAAAGCATTTTATTTTAGCTCTGTTTTTTACGCGAAAGAAATGATAATTAATCTTTATTCACACAAATGTGATAAGTTTTCGTAAGTTTGGTATCTAGTTCCACTGTATCCACATTCTCAGAGTCAGACTAGTCTGTAGTATTACTAGTCTGAGTTTCATTGTACTTTCAACACCCTTTGGTGCTGCTGTTTTCCTAAAAAACAGACAAACCACAAAACTACCGAACTGGTCTATTTGTAAATTAGCCTTACATTTAGTAAGTGTTTACATTGTCGTCTAAGGGAAGATTTAGTATGGTGCATTAAAAGCAAAGCGGCCAATGTGCCATGTTTTTTTAGAATTCGGAAGGTATCCATTAATTACAACAGGTATAAAACAGATGATCAAATACTGGTCTAGAATAAACAAAATGCCTGAAAATTTTCTGGTATATGGAGCATACAGTCTCGGCTTCGAACTAGACAACTCTGGCATCTACAACGGGGTTTCCGGTTTAAAACTTATACTTAAAGATCTAGATATGGACCATTTATGGCATGAGAAAAAAGCAAAACGCGGACAATGTAATTATAGATAAAACAAAACAAAATTTGATAACAAAGGGAAAAAGCACAAAAATAAATTGCGCACTGACAGAGAACTGAAAACAGACTTTGGCTTTGAAAACTACTTACAGGTAGTCAAAATTACTCATCACAGGTCATCAATGACAAAATTGAGGATTAGTGCTCACAGACTACAAATAAAGACTGGGAGATATAACAACACATATATATCTGACAGAAAATGTCTATTTTGTGAGAAGAATGCCATAGAGAAATGCGGGAGAAAGAAAAAAAAATTATCAGCTGTTATCACCCCGACATTTAGCAAAAAATAAAGAAAAACTAAAATATGTTGTAAATAGAAAAGATGAGAAAACAATAATACAAATAGCAAAATACACTGAGAGCTGTTTCAAAACTACTTTTATTTGCTTGTCAGTTTTTTTATTTTCTTGCGTGTATTTGTATTCTCACTTTATTTGTTTGTGTGTCTTTCTTCACATCTGTATTGCATTTTATTCCAAATCATAATAGTGATACGAACGCAATAAAGATAATTATTATTCGTGTGTTCGTTTCCCCACTGGCAGTAGAAAAACACCTCATACCAAATGCGTATGAACATGAATTAATAATTCTGGACATAATGGATTTTATCATAGACTATGTCCATATAACCGTTACTTCAGTTCCATACAAATAATGAACTACTGGTACGTAAATATACATGCCACGAGCGCCGACTCGTAGACTCGATACGAGCTCGAAACAGCTGCCGGGATATAAACACAACTTCAACAGCGTCATCTCAGGCAAAGAATTTACAGGAAGAATGACATCAATGCGGCCATCGATAGACGTGAAATATACAGAATTAGAAGATGACATTTCGTCTTTGATTTTTTCAAAGAAAATTAATTAATTTAATTATTTCAACTCAAAAAACTACAACAGTGTTGTTAAATGTCATGATCAGGACGCAGACAATTGAAAATGAAACATCAGAAACATGCATTTTTCCATACGAGAAAATACACTAATATGATTGTAATGAAACAATCTTTGCGTGATACACACAACGCCATACATCAATGTTGTGTGTGTACGGCGGGGTGGTTGGGACTACCCTGAAAAAAAATAGGATTGTTCAGTCCGAGTACCGCCAGATTTCAGATTATTGTATCTTGCTGTATGTTGTTACCAATGATATATCGGTTATACAGAACATAGACCTAACATAGTCGTAGGAAATATTGACAATATTTGCTACTATTTTGACAATACAGAATAGGCCAAACAGCAAAAAACACTGAGCAATCAATATTCCTCGCCCCGCTAAAACCTTTGCAAACCAAACCGGATGAGGCGCCCTCATGCGCTGATCATTGGTATAGGTAATTTGAATATCACTAAAGCTTGTCGTTTTGCGACTGCCTTTCCTAGACGCGTGGATTTATGTGGACCTTACGTTTTCTTACAAAAGAGTTCACACAGTGAGTATATTATCAGTTTTTGTTCATTTTTAGTGGCTCACATTTTATAACAAACCACCGAAATAGTAAATATTAACAGTTATCTACACAAGACGTGGAATCGTGGATAAGATCCATTCTGACGATGTCAGCTGTTTATCAAGCCATGTTGAAATGCACTCGGATTACACACGAGTCGCAATCTCTTAACATTCGAAGTATGTAATTTATGTGGCATCAGCGAATCTGATGCATGTGACAATGTTTTTTTAGAATTTTTAAAATCCCATTTACTCATTTCCCATTTATTTTCAGCGTAAAAATGTAAGCATCTTTCACACCCATGTCGCTAGATCGACATGGCCAGCCGATTCAAGTGTTGATGTTCAAATCTCCCCCATGTTTACGATTTGTCGTGGTTTTGTTGAAATTATTTCCATAGTTGCCACATGCATATTATAATATGCTAGAACACTCCTAAAGCTAAACTGCGATTAGTTTAGGCAGGGGCCGAAAAACTTTCGGGTTTGCAGGATAGTCCTGTCTCCTGCAAAATGTGTCAGGAAGATTCCATTCATTACCACTTGAAGAGAGGGGTATTGTGTACCAGGACTGAGGGGAAACATGAGTGATAAAAAATGTTGCATAATACTGTACTGTATTGTAATATCATATTCTTGCCTTGATATTAATTTAAGTAAAATAAACTAACTCAGAAATAGTTTAGTATGCCATGTTTTGTTGCTAATTTTCTGTGCTGCTTGGACCCTGAAATTAGTGGTATGATTCGATTATGGTTGAAGTCATAAATAAGGAGCAAACATTCAAACAGGAAATACAACAGCTTGCCCAGTTACTGTAATACCGTGGGAAAGAGTCCCTTTTGTACCCCCCATCCCTAACCCTAACCCTACCCCAGCACTTCCCATTTAATTGTACATGCCCCTCCTAAGGACATCTATAGTTATCTAGAGGGGGGCATATGCAAACAAATTGGGTAAATGGGAGTGAGTGTTAGGGTTAGGGATGAGGGTTACAAAAGGAACTCTTTCCATACCGTGTCCACACAGGGAGTTGGAATAACTCAAGTGAAATTATTTTTTAAAAATATCTTTTTTTCTTTCTACCCTTTCTACCTTACCACGGAGCTTACTAGACTTAGAGTTCTTACATAACCTTACAGGATTCTTTTTTATCAACAGTTTTACAACTCATTACTTTATACAAATTTTAATCCTTGAATACACATGTGAATGAACAGTGTTACTATCAAAATAACACTTAATGATATGCAGAAGTAAACAGGAAATGACCGTGTAAGAATACAAAGCCTAATCAAACTGCTTAGCTTATGAATTCAGCGAATAGTTTACTATTTCACACCACATTCACGATAGTCTCAATGGACACAATCGATGTCCAATGACCAGGTTTTCTGTCTTGACGATCACATTTTTGGCTTTTCAAAAGCTACTAGTCAAGGAAATATGGAACATTGGGGTTCATCCTGAGTGAATAACAGAATAGAAAGGGTGCGAACCACGTTGTGTACGTTCGCCATGCACTCTGAAATTAATGCAAGGTGTCTTATGAAAGCACAAACCAAACTACAGTACCTATCAACATTTTTATGCAATGAAACACACTTTTTACAAACATATTTTAATGAATGTCGTTGACGCCCGGTAAAACACCCTGGCTTATAATCGGGGATGCCCATCAACTCGTTAAATGTCTAAAAATAGAGAGGGTGGGCTTATAATCAGGGAGGGGCTTATGATCGGGGAAGTATGATAGTTATGAAGTAAGCTGTAGTAAAGGCCATATGTGTATTATTTCAGAATACGTTTTGGTAAAATGGTGATTTGATCTGTCAGAGTTTCAACCCTTGTCATCTTTCGTTAGTTACAGAGGTGATTCATGATGCATTTGTAATGAAACAGACATGTTATAATAATGGACAGTCCCTTCAAAGTAGACTCAATCTGGATAATGGACGTTTTGTTTGGACACCCAACAATTGATGTGTCAATTCTTTTCTCATTTATATCATCCTTCTGTTCTGTACTCTTTGTTAATTGTGAAATTTTTTTTTTATTTCTCTAGACATTGACCCATGCCTTCCTTCAAGAAAACCAAAAATCTACAAGCAGCAAATCGGGGGCCCAGCAGACCACTGGCAAGATCCTCAATCAGTACTGACGTGCGTGATAGTTCATATGCCACAATAGAAACATGTTCACCCAAGACTTCATCAGGCAGTCGAGTCAAGAGTTCAAGCCCAGTATCAGAACCTGCCAACTTGTCTTCAGACAGTCGGGTCACGAGTTCTAATCGAGTGCCAGAACCTGCCAACTTGTCATCAGACAATCTGGTCAGGAGTTCCAGTCGAGTGCCAGAACCTGCCAACTTATCATCAGACAGTTGGGTCAAGAGTTCCAGTCGAGTGCCAGAACCTGCCAACTTGTCATCATACAGTCTGGTCAGAAGTTCCAGTCGAGTGCCAGAACCTGCCAACTTATCGCCAGACAGCCGGGTCAAGAGTTCTAACCCAGTATCAGAACCTATCATTAGACAGCGGGTTGGCACCCCCTGACATCCCAACTCAAAGGTCATGGAAGAACCTAGAAACAACTTCAGTAAAAAAACTATTTTCTATTGTGGAAGACAGTGTGATGACACTAGGCGAAGAAGGATTTCCAGGGCGTAATAAAGTGATTTCCAGAGTGTGCTCTGTGTTGAAAAAACATGGAATCGAATTTGAAAAAGAATTTCGAGGTACAAGATAATTTGTCTATAACCCCATAAATTCAATTAGATTTAGACACCAACTTTAGTTGTTGATTTATTTATAATTAATGCAATGACAAACAATCAAAATAAATATGTCATAAGGCCAGAGTCAAATGACTTTCTACAAGCTGTATTGGTCCTTTGATTTATATTTGTAAACTGACATTTGGTTGGGACAAGCAACAAATTTTAATGAGATTGGTAAATTTTGTAAAAGTAGAAGAATTTACAGTGTGTCTGGGTGGGGTGGGGTGGGGGTCACAGTGTGTTACTGTAAATCTGTTTGGCTTCAATTAAAATACAACACAGGGGATGCGGCTTCTATTGGAGCATCTACA